GCAATTAGTCAAATTCAGAATTGACATGGGATGCTTGCATGTATCTTTGAAATTCTGAATGAACCGGGCTTTTAATTCTGCCCATGAACCGATGGAATTCGGCGGCAGCCCCTTCAACCAAGTGCGGGCCGTCCCATCCAACATCATGGTGAAGTACTTGGCCATCGCAGCGTCACTGACCTCCAGTAGCTCCATAGCCGTCTCATAGCTTTCAATCCACGCCCCAGGCTGTAAGTCGGCCGTGTAATTAGGCACCTTTCGAGGCCCCTTGAAATCCTTGGGCAAACACTTGTTACATAGAGCCTGCACCAGACAAGGGACACCTCCGGTCCTAGTGGTCACACCTGCCTCAATAGAAGTCGTCAGATAAACCGAAAAAGACTGGTAAGCCGCCCGCTGAGCCGCCTGCTTAGCCTCTTGACGTATTCTGTCCTGATCAACCAAGTTAAGAGCTCCGTCACGCATCGGGTCATGCCCGCACGGCTGGTCACGGCGCCGGGCGTTGCTTGAAACGGTCGCTGAATCCATGTGCCTGCTATAACTCGGGCTCCGACTTGGACGAGGGGTCGAATGAATCCTGTCTCGGCTATACGAGTACGCCTCCTGCTGCGCCAAAGCCATCTGAAGAAGCTCTCCGACCCTTCGAGTTTCAACCGCCGTCGGAGAGTCGCCCTCCACCGGGAGAGTCGCCAATCATGCCGCCGCAGCAACCATGTTCTCCAAAGGGTTAGACTAATGCCCCGGTGGTGTTGGTACATAATGAGGTGGAGCGGTATTCATCTGGGGAGGTGCCATCATACGTGGCTGAACCGGCGTTCCAGCCCCGGGCGTTGCAACCCGGTCTATCTCCGGCGGGTTACTGGGCCCTGCACCGGGTGTACGGAAGAGGTTTCGAGGATCATAAACCGGAGGCAGACGGGATTGAGTCTTCTGGTACCTCCTTCTCATGACCTCATTTGACGCGTTCTGATCCCTCGTGAGCTAGAAAGCCTGTGACTGAATCCGCTGAGCCTGGGCATCCAGAGCCGCCCGCTCTGCGGTCATCCTGACGTCCTCCGCCGCCAGGTCGTCCTTAGCCTGCACTATATCCTGCTTTAACTGCGTCACTTACGCATCATGCTGAGCTTGATCCGCCGGGTTGACCACGGCGGTTAATAGAGCTGTCATATTATCCATGAGATCCATCAGCACCTGAGCCGGCGGGCGCACATGGCCTCCTGCCCCGGCTACCGCTGACCCGGAGGTTATCGCTGCCGCAGCCGTAGAGTACTGAACGGGTTGTGTGCCAGCCATGAAGATCCCAACTCTGCTCAGTGGCTCAAGGAGGTCCGGAATACTGCTGCCATCGGAACAGCCCCCGAGCCTGCCGTCTTGCAGTTGATACAACGAATCCGTCTCACCCATGGATGACTCACCATCAGAGTAGATGGCCTTCTCACCGCCAGATGCAGATCCTTCAGAAAGTCCTCCTCCGTGGATGCATCCCACTAAGGCACGCTTCACGGCAGGCTGAGCCCGGGCAGGTCTCGCGCGCTGAGCTGTCTCGATGATGTCGGTGCAGATGTCCGGCTCAGGGCCCGGCTCGCCGATCTTGCCGATGAAAAACGTGGATTCCGCCGAAGGGGACCCAGTACTCGTACTCGATTGAGCCAGCGTCGGGGCCCCAGCCTGCATCGTCGATGTAGAGCTTGCCGCGACGACTCTTGGTCATCCGGCCCACAACGTATCCCTTGAGCCCTTCGAAGCTGCCCTTCAAGAACTCAAATCCACCGTGCGGTGGCCCACGGTGGGTGCCAACTATCATGGAATTGTCACGTCGGATGTCCTAGTGAAAGGACTTAGTCGTGGAGCCATCGCAACTAGGAAGCTTAAAGGGGTTAATCGGGACAAAGGACACGGGGTTTATACTGGTTCGGCCCCTTACGGTGAAGGTAAAAGCCTACGATCCAGTTTTGAGTGGGATTGCTTATGTCTCGATTACCAGGGAGCGATTCCGCTTGACCTAGCTCTCGATCTGATGTTACCTGCACTGAACTGCCGCCTGTTCGTCCCTTTATATATAGAGGTCAACGCCCAACGGCTCACAGAGTCTCGGCCAGCTCATAAACAGTGTTCGGCTCGGTCTGTAACTATTCTTGCCTTACAATACAAGTTATGTACATATGGCGGTCTATCTCCACGGGCCTTAAGTCGCCTTTGGGCTTTGGGCCCTTAACTGAACCGCCATCTTCAAGCTTTGTCTTGGGCTTCAAGAGTCCTTATAGGTATAACCCGGCCCCTCCTGGGCGGGTCATACCTAATAGTTATATCCCCAACAGTTACCCTTGACGAAAACACTTCCATGACGCGCCATTTATCGTCATGGAAGTGGACACTCCCGTGATGATAATTTTGGTATTGTCATGAAACACTTCTACGACAGCATAGGTATGACTATCTTGATTCTGTCATAAAATCGTCATGGATGTACATGCATGACAGAAACATGACCTACTGTGACAAACACGTACCATCACAGAAGTGGTTTTTTTGTAGTGTATGGAGTTCTACTGTTGATAATTATACTTTGTGGACTCCCGATATCCAAACAGGGTTGGATATCTAGCACCATACAAAGGGCAACATACCATGTACCAGATTTTTAACAACGCCCTTCGGTGAAGAGACATGAGACATTCAACCATCTTCTTTCTTCTTTGCAAAATATCATCGAAAGAGCATTTGATGTTCTCAAGATGAAATGACAAATTCTCATAGGCATATCACAGTACAAACCGGATATCCAAAAGATGATTGCCACTGCATGCACGTGTCTTCACAATTGGATTCGTTATACTCCCTCTGTCCAGGCGAATAGTTCATGTAAGGAGCTACATCGCAACTGTGGATGGCAATGGGTAGGATGGGGCGGATAGAGCAATACCATACCCATACCCGTGTAGTTGATGGGTACAAAATTTTACCCATAACCGTACCCACGGGTATGCAAATTTATCCGTGCCTGTACCCGACGGGTACCCGTACCTATTGGGTACCCAATATGTAGATCAAATAGTACACAAGTTATCCATAATTTTACATTCATACATAGCACATCTAACAAAAAAAACTTTTATTTCAACTCGATAACAAATAGATGGATACAAGACAATCTCAATTCAGATTGACAATTGGTGATACTTTAACACAGGTTAACAAACTCACCAAATAACATCTGACAAGTAATATGTCAGTATAAATGAGTAGGGTATGTGTATATCCATGGGTATAAGGCTATACCCGTGCCCTATCCATGACTTAACCAGTAGGGTATGGGTATACCCATGGTATAAAATTGTGCCCATACCCTGTCCATACGGGTACGGTATCCGCGGGCAGCCGTACCCATGGGTAAAATTACCATACTTAATCGCAACCTAGGTGCGTGGAGATTGGATGGAGGATATTAACCGCAACCTCCCATTAACATTTACAGGTGCCAACACTCCACCATCAGAAAATGATAATGATGGTACCATGACGGCAACAGGTGAGGCTATTGCTGCTAATCTCGTACCTTAAGATGAATCTTCTATTTGCAGTACCATGATTGCAACGTGTGAGACTATAACTCAACCCACAATCTAAAATTCTATTTAATTCGTAATCACTGTTATGCTCATATTCCACAAGAGCCTGTTCAAAACAACAAAATGTTAGCAATTTAGCAAATAATTTCTGTCTAAGGGAAATATAAACATTTCAGCACACAATCTAAAAACTGCAATCTCAAAAAGAAGAAAACGGAACGGCTGATTCTGTGGGAAAGAAATTATGTGAGAATTAATTCTGCAGAATCCTGCCAAAAAAAAAGAGACGGCCCTTAGAGCGGCAGCGCGTCGTTCGATATGCATCAAGTCAAGCCAAGTCGTTGCCAACCCGATGAGCCGTACAATGGAACCATTAACCCGTCAAGTCGCGCTCTCACGACATGACCTCATCGCCGAGGTGAAATTACATATGAGGAAAATAATCCTGGACTACGAAAGCTGCCCTTGTGTGGTAGAATCAGGTCTTCCACCGGGCGGTCAGCCAAGTACTGAAGCCCTATCTTGATATAGAATAGAAGTGAGTTCACACTAAAAATAGAAGAAGCCCTATGATTTTGGAGCCCTGCTATCAATCACTTCGGTAAAGGGATCGAAAGATTATGGTCTGAAATAGAGATTTGAGAGTCCCTCGTGTGAGTACGTGCTGAAGAGCAAGGAGTGACAGTGCGTTTATCTTTCTTTCTGCTAGTTGTTTCCTGCTAATAGTGATTAGTGAGTACCCCAATGTCCGCCGGTGTTCACATCCAGGGCTTGGGCACATAGGAATATCGTCAATACGATGTTTGGTATAAATGAAACAGAGAAATATAGCGCGGAAATAAAAGCGAAATCCCTTGTGAGATTTTCTATACAAGAAGCAGTTAAGCTTGGCCTGCTCTGCCCTGCCCTCTTCTTCCTCCTCTTCTCTTCTCCATCCAGGAGAGGATTGCTTCAGGTTGGGCACTCCTCTCTCTCCCCCTCCCTTTTTTTTCCTGCGTGTTTCCGCTACGCTAATCCATTTCTAGTTCTTGGCCGGGCATGCGCTCCCGATCTTCCCTGCTCTAATTTTCTGCGCTTTATCTCCAGGTTCTCCCTCTTCCAGGCGCTTTCCTCACCCCCAATCGCGGCCGAAATTCCGGACCTTTTCCAGCGGCAGAACCGTTGAGTGCGGCGGCGGCGACCGCCGACCGAGCCAAGAATCCATAGATTTCCTTCTGGCGAGCTAGGCCTTCTCCTAGAGGCGTTTCTTGGGAGCCATATTTGGTTCCGGATCCATGCTGGCCGACGACATCTTGGGCTACCCTTTCCCCGCCTAGTATTATTTTCTTCGCGAGGGTTTCTTGGTTCCTCGGAGGTCCTCCAAGTTCTTGCCAATCTGGCCAATCTGGCCCCAACCCCGGGGCGCGGCCGTGTTAGGGTTCGGGGGGCTGGATGGGGTCGGTCGTGGATTTTGTGGAGATCAGCTCCGACGAGGAGGACCTTCCCATGCCCAGGAAGCCAGCTGACGACTGGCTTGGGAAGCTTTTGAATGATGATGAGCCAAATGGAGACGATTTCTTTGATCTCGTGGTGATGGGTGAGTTCTCGCCGCCACAGAAGAAGGCCAACCCCGCCGCCGGCGGCGGTGGTGGTGATGATGAGGATGATGATGATTGTGTGGTTCTAGATGGTGACCCTGAGAAGGCTATTACCATCGGGGAGGACAAGGGGAGTGTGGGAGATAGCAGCTCCGATGAATTGCAGATAGTTGGGGAGAAAGGACCGGTATTTGTTTCCTTCCATTTCATCCACAGCAATGCATTTTGTTCATACCATATAAGCAGTGCCTTGTTATGTTCGACACTATGTATGGAAATGAAATGCTTTGTACTATGCATGACCATCTTGTGCTGATTTCTTTGGATGTATATATGTGAATTTGGATCGAGTCACGGATATTGTTTAGAGAGCTTGCATTAATTTAGTAGTTTCAAACACTATGAATGTGGTTAAAGATGCATCATTCAACATGCAACATGGAGATGGTTTGCTTAATGACACATATTAATTCATGCCTACCTGTCTTTATTGCTTATGAATATATTTGTGGTTTTTAATTCATGTTAAATTTAACAAAAGATAATTTAGGGCTTTCCATAGAAGCTACAGTTTTACCTGCAGGCAGGCTTCAGTAGCATTCCTTCGATGTTTAACCTTAACAAGTTCTCATTTTTTTTGCAGGTAGCGTGCAGGGACTTCCCTCATTCACGCCATCTATGTTCTAACTTGCCCTTCAGCGCTACTTCTCATGTGAAGCATTGTAGCATGGTAAGTAACAAGTGTTAACTACATGATGCTGTTGGTGAATACTAGTTGAGTATCATTAGACAATGTACATTTTTTAAGCCATTTTAATTGTTACTTCTTAAATGCAGTGTCACTGTTTTGTATGTGATGCTCCAGCTCCATGTAATTATTGGGGTAAAGGTATCCAGCTTAATGATCATTGTCATGCTACGGATAAGGAATCAAAGTGGAAACAGCTGCGGCAAGCATTCAAGTCTAAAAGTCTTCCAGCATCTCGTCCAGAACAATGCCAGAATGCCATCTACCCAACAATGGCACCATCCATTAAGAAGGATATACAGTGTCAAGTCGCGTCTTTTGCAAACAGAAGTCCTCTTGTGCATGTTATGAGCCAAAACCAACAAAGACACACTTCAGTTAGAGTCTCACTGAATGTAGGACGGACTATCAGTACACCAAGAGCATCCCTTGCGACAAAAGCGGGGAGAAGTACAAACAATGTCCACACTGCTCAAAACATTCATTCACGTGGAAACTTCAAAAGAGTAGGGACAGCTTCTCCAGGTCACACAATCCGAAATGCTGACCAATTTGGTCCTAGTGCTCCAATCAGTACCCCGTCCCTTATGAACAATGCATTGCCACATGTATCACAGCCAGTTCAAGCTATACCAGGAACTAATACTACCCATTTATCTCAGCAAGTTCAACCTATACAAAGAACCAATCCTTTCAGTGGTACTGTCAAGAAAAGTGCCCCTCAGAGATCTCTCAGTGCGCCAATAGCATCTCAGGGGCAACAAGGTCAGCTGGCAGCATCTTCACAGGCTGCCTCAAATGTAGTGCACGGCGTAGGACCTCAACTTTCCCGGTGCACCTCGCTTATGAATGAGAGCAGACAATTCCTGCCAGAACCAGTAATCGATGTTTCCACACAAAGCTGGCAAGACATACTTGCTAGTGTGGCATCGGATCTGGGAGTATTAGATGATTCTGCTTACAATACCAGTACTTCACGGTCCCAGCAGCCTGTGAGGACTTCCCCTCAACCTCTGGATGCCGGTGCAAACCAAGGGGAGGAGGGCCTTCATGCCGAGTCTGTTGCGTCAGCCGTAAACCTGATGACTTCTAGTGGGCATGGCTTGCACATTCATACAACAGGTGGTGGTACCCAGACAAATGCTCCTAAGCAAACTTTGCATCCTCTGAATTATGGTGGCAGTCTTAGTCCAGATGAAGCTCATCTTGATGGTTTTCTAAGCCCCCCTGCAGATGAATTATTGTTAGAAGCTGCTCATCAGAGGGACTCTTCCGGATTGGATTCTACAGGCCTTATATTTGACTTTGAACTCGACGACTGGGCTTAAGCAGCACTCTCAAAGTCGGAGGCTGTCCCGTCTTTAGCATTTGGCGGGCTTCGTGGACAATAGGACAATAAAACCGGTGATGTTACTAGTAGCTGGTCCGTAGGGTTTTCCTTCACATGAGAGGTGAAGATGTTCCTTGTACAGTAATTAACTAGGTTGTGTGGTGGAGATATTTTCTTAGATGGGTTGGTGTTTAACCTGTCGGTCATACGGGCCTTTTTATTAGGAGGCCGCAGATGCTAGTAATCTTTGTCACTCTGTAATAGAAGAGCAGAATTTCCACTACCTAGCTATTGGTCATATTTCTATGGGCCATATACTATTCTAGCGCCAAAAACGCCTGTTTGTGGTACATGTTGTTGATTGCCTGCTGGCATTGTGAGGCATTTGATTATGCATGCTTGATAGTATTATTAGGAGAAAAGAGTGCCTCATGAAAATTCTTAGCTGGAGAGTAGTCCCTAGACTGGTTATTCACTAGTTATTCTGTAAGAAAATCACTAGGGACTACTCTCCAGCCAAGTTCTTACAGAATAACTAGGGACAGAGGGTTTGATTCCCTGGTTCTTAACTAGGTGCAGAATAACTAGTGCTAAAAATTCACTAGTCTGTTATACGATGCCTACTGATCGTCAAGGGTTTGAACCTGTGGAAACGAGAAACGCGAGTGTTCGCTAATCTCAAACATGTAACGATCTGTCCCGGGTGTGGTGGACCTCATCTTTTGCGGATTGGGACGACTGGGAACATGCTGGAGCTTCCGGTGGTGACCGATTTGTGAGGGGTTAGCCTACTCAGTGTGGTGTAGGTGTGAGAGTGGATGTCCTGCACGCAGCGGCAGCTGCACGCAGTTATCCGGCCGCACCCGAGTCGCGTGGTGATGCGTGCAGTTTGATTTGCTAAAGCGCTAAAGCGGAGATACATCGTGTAATACAGAGAGATACACTATGTCGCGTCCGTGCAGTGGGCTCGGTCCATGGTACTTGTCTGACGCGGACAAGAGACGTGCCCCGCGCGTCGTGCAGAGTGGGCCATCGTTTCTCTGCACCGCTGGCCCCGGTGGTCTGCCCGGAAAGCTATGTACGGGACTGGGCCTTGTGATTAGTCGCATTTGGTGCGTCTCGCACGAATTCCTTTCCCCGTCTTGGTGGGCGAAGAGCAAGGTGAGCAGCAAGAACAGCACCGGCGTCGGGGCCGCTTCCTGTTCCGGCTGGCGCTGCTCATGGCGAATCTCAGAGCGAAGACGGAGGCGGCGTTGGACTCTGGGTGAGTGAACCCCCTTGTCTTTAGTTGTTCTGGGTTGAAATATAGATCTAACTAGCTCGTTCCGGTCGCCGGTGCTGCAGAACGATCTCATCGGCAACGGGTTCAGAGGCGTGCGAGCCGCCGTTTGTTTTGGGCGAGGGCGGTGACGCTTTGCCCGATTCGGCCGTAGTCTCGCCGGATTCGGCCGTCGAAGCTCCCTCGCCGGACATTCGTCGGTTGGATCGAGGGGTGGGCTTGCTGATGTCCAGTCCTCCGGGGCTTCCTGCAAGAGCTTCAGTGCTGGTGGCGGAGATGTGGCGTCCGCAAACCCCGGGTGCGGGACTCCTGCCGTCTTCTCGCGCACATCCGCCGAGTCCAGCCGCCGCAGTGGCTCTTCGGGTTCTTGCACGACATTCAGTTCTGGGGGCGTGGTCGTGCCGTCGGCGCGAGACTGCGACGATACGCCGGCCGTCGTCTCGAGCTCGGTCGTGCAGTCCTTAGCCCAAAACGGGCCGGGTTCGGGGAACACCACCATCCGCGTTGGCTGGAAGCGCAGCTAGCTACTGATTTTCTGCCGTTTACGCCAATTGTGCATTTTCCTGTTCTCAGTCGTGCGAGCAAGTACTGAAATATTCATTAGACTTGTGAATTTGGGTAGGGCTCTGGATAAAGACTGGAGGAAACAACAGAAATCTGAATCAACCCTTCCCAACAAGTTCGTAGATGTTTTGCTTAAGCCCTAACCAGTGGTTGGTCAGCAAAAAAATACCCGTGCCACTGCTGTAGTATGTCCCTGGTTAATTTTCAGTGACAAAAAGAGCTTGAATTGCTAGTAATAAGAAGCACCGTAATTGCGTGATTAAGTTCTTTCTGGTCAATGTTATTCTGTTCGGTGATTATCTGTTGGATGGTGACTTTTCTTAGTGTTCAAACATTGCAAAGGGAAAGCTATACTTCGGTGGAATCCATTTGCAGAAGTTTAGTGAATTTCGTGCAGCAGTCTGAATGTAGAGTGGGGGAGAGAATATAGACTGAATCAGGCTGGATGGTACTGCAATTTTAATTCATGCTATTAGTCTTAGCCTTGGCGTGTGATTTTCATTTCCCAATAAGGGATGTCACAACTTTATTGAACTGTAAAATTGACATAGTGCTGTTGTTCCTATATTTCCTGCTTTGACGTGCCTCATGCGTTTTTCAAAAATGTTTGATGTGCTGGCTCGCTGTGTGGTTGCGTCTCTTTTGTATTGGTGGAACCTTTTTTGTCAGTGCAAAACGTGCAAAACGATCTGTGCTGTCCACGGCTGGCTGGTGCATGGGCCTTAAATACATGCAGGTGGGTGCAATGTTTAGTGCAACGGTAATATTGTGTCCTCACGTCTGTACATGTGCAGTGCTTGCGTTAGATGGGTTAGTCCGGTTGTCAGTGCATAGTACAACTAATACAACGAATACGAACCATTACGCACGTCGGCGGTGCTCTATACTCAAAGTAGCACTTCCAGCGAGTCCTAATCGCGACTCTTCCCCAGCCGTGGATGCGCTGCGTGCAGCGATGGACTTCTCGTGTAGGTGTGGGTGAATTGCGGTGCTATTGTTCGCATGTTTGTGTACGATTCTTATAATTGATACCCTGCTTCTCTAATATGAAAATGAAAGTTTTAGGATATATAGTGGCCAATTTCTCTCGATTTTCTTTTTTACAGAAGGGACAAGGTGGAATTGTTGGTGTGAAACCGAGGACTGAAGGCAGGGGTGAGGATTACTGGGTATCTATGTGAAGTTGTCAGAAAATGGCCAAATTTTTCGAGATATAGTGGCCAAATTCTTGGATAGAACACAAGAATTTCACATATGCGCTGCATAAATTGTGGGCCTTGTTTAAACTAACAAATCAGGAAATTCCCACATCACGGACGGATTTTATTCAACCAAACATACGTATATGGCATTGACACGCGAGCTATTTACGACGACACTTGTACCGCACCATATATCATGCATGTTTCAGTCCACTCCCATGGTGGACAGCCAAGAACATGTTGCATCCTCTCCAAGCCGTTCCTTTTTTCCCACACAATTCTTTCAGGGTGCCTCACGCAAGTACTTGGACAAGCGGGCATCGGATCGCCACGGTAGGTCGGTGCGCGCGCCGATGGCTCTGCATTTGATGCCTGCCTGCCACACGAACAGCAAACCAAACCAAACCAATCAGGCTCTCAGTGTACATCTCAGTCGGAATAAAGCCACTTCTTTCGTGGCATTAGCAGATTGAGCACTGTTTTACCACTTGACAGGCAAAAGGCAGCATCTTTTCCGGAGCCATCTCTGTGCACAGCCCTGTGTAGAATCAACAGGGGGGAATTTCGACAGTCACCATCTATGTATTTGAAAGCAAAAATAACTGGCCTGAACTTATGCCAGCGAGAAATCAGTACGCCTACTGCTTATTCATACGTACTCCCTCCGTTCCAAATTACTCGTCATGGTTTTAGTTTAAATTTGAACTAAAACCATGACGAGTAATTTGGAACGGAGGGAGTAGCAATCTTCCTATACGCGAAAGATAATATCATGAATAAGAAAGGAACAAGTTGATATGCCTCACCGTAGAGCACTGCTCCTATGAACGCATCGCCACAACCGGTGGTGTCAACAAGCTCTGGAGCGGGGATTTTTTCTGCTGTTCCTATGAGCAATCTTCCGTGTATAGTCCCATGCCCTCTTCCAGAGAGTCTCATGAACTAGAATGATAAATTTCAAAACGGTAAAATCCTAACAGATGTCAGTTTCTTCAGTAATTTCGGTGACCCGACATTGTTAAATGGCTGCGAGGACCAGAAACATTGTCAATTTTTTCATACCTTGGATGATACACAAGTTGGCAGATTGTCATCTTTATGCACTTTAAGCCTTAAGGACTCAGCAACATTCCCAATATCTACCGCATCTATTCCAGAATCATCTGTTCAGGAAGGTACCGGATGACCAGAAAATAAAATAAAATGAGCCTGAAAAATCTCGAAGGCCACAATTACGCATCATGTTGATCCTTGCTGGTGTTATTCTTATCAGGACAAGACCAAAAGTTTTAAAGCTGATCACCTTCGATCCTCTCAAGCATCATGCACCCGTTTTCTCCAAGGGTTGCAATGACGAACCTCGCACGGGGATATTGCACAAGGATCTCTAGTAGTGCAGAAGGAATGCAGGAAATTGATGTCCATTTCTTTAAAAAGAAGACGTCGCTGAAATTAGTGTGTGCATAAAGCAATGCAAGGTGTACTGAGAGCATACAATTGGACACAAGGAATATTCACTTCTGCTAAAATGTGTCATGGCCTCACGATACCTCTGGAAATTTACCCGAACAGACAATGTAACTCGATAGGTCGAGCAGATGCCCCAGTTCTGTCTTTGTTCTTTCTGGTTCCGCATCAACCAGTATTGGGATCTTCATTAGATCAGCCTGTGCATCATGCAACACACTCCAACTGGGATATATTTATCTTGCAGGTTTTATGTAGTCTTACTGTAGTATACTAGTTATCTACAGAAATTCAATTTAAATCTTCTAAATAACAAGAAGGAAAAGAATTAGTTTGCCACTAAGGATACACCTGGACTTTTGAAGATTGAACAACACATACAAAGTGGCAAAACAAAAACATGTATGATGTACGTATCAGTGAATTAATGCTGCAACAACTTGAAAAAAAAAAACTACCTGCTTACCAACAGATAGTGCCATTTCATGTGAATATCCGTCTAGGTATAGCAAGTTAACATCTTGTAGTGCAGCTGACAAATTTGACACTGATATGTCACCAGGAACCATTGGAGGGTAGCCTGACGTGATTATACATGTTCGGGTTTTCCTACAAACGCAAAGAGTTTTATAAGTACGTGTATGATAATTCGTTTATGATGCCATAAAGTAATTTGCAAAAGTTGAATAAGAGCAGTGTACCATAATCCTATTCTTAAACAAGTTTAACAGTTTCATTCATGTAGAAATTGATTCAGGAACCAGTAAAACAATGAAAGTGGACAGCAAATGACAGAATGGTTATGTGTAGAAAAAATATTGTCCTTTGTTTCTATGTATACTCTAAATTGTATGTCTGATCTAAACATGCAGTATCCTGAACGAACACCGTGGAGGCCTTTTAGTAACAATTTACGTTATGTTGTTGTTATGGCGCTGCTAGAAGGAGGGCGCGAGAGGGCCGGCCGGGGGCCTTTTTTGCCCATGGCCGGGCAAGAGGGAAGGGATTTCCTTCTTAATTCTTGCTTGATTAGATTGATACATCTCCTCTCTTTATATAGAGAGGTTTACTTGACTTCCAAGCAAGCGACCCTTATCTCTAATTAACCCTAAGACTAATGGGCTATACCGCCAGCCCAGGCCCAAGTTTACTTGACTTCCAAGCAAGCGACCCTTATCTCTAATTAGGCCCATTACGTACTCTAACAGTTGTCAAAACAATTCATGTCGAAGTGCATAACAAGAAAGGATATTGGAAAAAGATGTTCGTATGACAAGGTCTTCAGATGACACTCAGATAAATAGGAAACTTTATTTTGGGAAATTTATCTATATGTACTGGCAGAGTAGACAAGATGACCAGCAAATCTACATTCAGCTGTGTGGACTGTTTCACTCACCTAGTTATAACTACATGAAACTAAGTACTAGCTGCCTTTAAATAAAGCTGATGAAGAAAAGATATGTTCTCACGTTTTCTTATCAATAATGACATAAACAAATGTTGTGTTTCCACCATCAGAGATCTGCAAAGCAGAATCACATAGAATATGAGACAAAAAATCGAAGGGAAGTCCAGTCTGATATTTCACTGTAGATTTCACATGCATCTCTCATCTGTTAATGCTTTGACTCTCTGTAGAAGACATATCATTGCCAAAATGGGTGGTTTAACTGATGACATGTATTTTTTATTTCTTGAACACAAGAACAAATTGTGTGGTCGTGTAATTTCTTTTTCTAGAGAATTAGTACCATCCAACTTAATATTAGACATATCCGCTAAAACAGAGTATTAGAGATGTGTTTTCTATCCATGTTAGAAGTACCCACGTTCAGTATTTCAGTTATGTTTTTTTATTCTTGGGCAGTGGCCATAATTTCAGTGGTACTGTCTGAAAGGGATGCTGCTATCCTCCTGGTGGCAGCAACAAATATATGAGCCCTGAGTCTAGCTTCCTCGCCATTCATGGTTAGAGGCTGGACAAGGCAAGACCTTTCATCATTGCTGTCTGTAGGTGGTGGCACCTCCTCACCTGCTCATTTGGTGAGGACGGTGGTGTGTGTGCGTGTGTCCCTCCTGCTGGGAGGTACCTGTATTCTCTTCCCGTTCAATGAAATGAAATGCAAAGTCTTTTGCATTTTCTCGAAACAAATATATGAGCCCGGAAAGCAGAATGCTACAAATCTGAATGTTTATTTTGGGGAAACAGTTAGAAAGTGTTGTGCCTTGCCTATGACCATATCATCACTTGCATGCACATGATGAAATAGTTCAGTCGTAATTCAAGCCTTACTATAACATGTGACACGTCAATCCCAGCTTCCTCGAGTTCCGAAAGAACAGTTCCTCCTATTTCATCGTTGGCCACCTGAAAAGACATAAGTTGAGCGAAGTTAAGTAAAGCTTAGGGCATCTCTAAGATATCTCTTAAAAGTTACTCCCTCTGTCCTGTAATGTAAGACGTTCTGACACTACAATAGTGTTAAAAAACGTCTTACATTATGGGACGGAGGGAGTACATTTGAGGGGGGAAATTTCGTTTAGGGGATTAATCATCATCTAGCAAATCCCTTATAAAGTTTAGTACCTCAAGTATGACTTTTTCCCCCTAAAAACTTTCCCTCACTTGCTCAAATTTAGTCCAGCCGCGACCGTTCTCAGGAAAAATAAGGCCGAGCCCCGCTGCTTCCCACTTGCCCACATTTTTCCCACTCAACCCCTGATGCCGATGCCGCTTGCCCCGCCGCCGGCTGTCCCCGGCCTCGATGATCGATGAAGTGGAAAGCCCCACCTCTAGCCACCCTCGCCGGCGCCAAAGACCAACCGCCGGCCGCGAATTCGGCGCCACAAGGACCAAAACGGCAGCTCCAAGGGAAGAACGGTACCGAGAGCTTTCGGTCGCCGGCGGTGGTCGTTGCTTGCTCCGTCGCCACCACCCTACTACCCTTGTTGGCGCCGACCAGCAAACGGGATCGTCGGCCATCGACCAGGGCGGACACCATGATGGTCGGGACGAAAAGAAGGCCGCCGGCCCCTCGGCCTCCTGCAGCCGCGCCGACACCCCCTCCACCTCTGGTGGCGGAAGAAGACATGGATTCAGACGATACTAGGGGCGAGGCCGACGTGCTCGAGGATATGCCGGCAAGGTAAAAGTTTCCATGTTTTCCGTTTTGTTTTGCAATTGCTCAAGAGAGTGATGCATGATGTGATATTGATTGCTGCTCCCTCCGTTTCTAAATATAAGTATTTTTAAGTATTTCAATACGTACTACATACGTGTGTATCTAGACATATTTTAGAGTGTAGATCCACTCATTTTGCTCCGTATGTATTTCATATTGGAATCTCTAAAAGAGTAAAAGGGCTTATATTTAGAAACGGATGGAGTAGTTTTTTTTTTTGCTTTTGTAGTGAGCAAATGAATGATGGTGTGGCCGATTTCATGGAACAATTAAATGTAAGTCACACACTCGGCCTTGACGACCCAAGAGATGATGAGAAATGTTGAGGTCGAGGAGGTGGGGGGTGTCAAGGATACCAAAACATCAAAAAAGAGCGGTTGGTCCTGCAACTACAAGACCAAGGAAAACAAAGCTTTTTTGTGTACTTTGGGCCAATGTTTAGTTGAGCTTGTTGAGTTGTGCCCTCAGCACTAACCCTTGTTGCACTATTGGTGTTTGTGGACTTCTCGTGTGTGTGTGTTGTGTACCTTTGTATGGATATTGTGGCTCGGGCAGTTTGCTTTATATATAAAGCGGGGCGAAAGCCTTTTTCGGTACTAAATGAGCGGCAATTAATATGGATTGGAGGTGTTTATTTTGAAATGTGATGAATTTGTTCCAATTGTTTGAGCAAATGTTTGAAAGAATTGGTAAAAGTAAAATTTCTGAGGGATCAAGTTTTACGTGATCCTACCATCTCAATGGAAAATCCGTAAGGTCAAAATACTCAACGTGTTGCCACAAGACGAGGTGGAGGAATTTACTACCTTGGAGATGAGCCTTGTGTTGAGGCCCAGACGAGCAGCGCCTGTCAATGCGTTCCCGGCGTTCCCGCCTCCCGATATCTGCGCACACAAAGAACCACCAGGGAATGGCCACTAGTACTCAAGGTACAGCATACACCCTGCCGCAAATCCAGCTCGTGGAGGGGGAACAACCGCGCGCACGGAAGGGGTAGGGTACCTGCAGCTCCCCGCTGCCGATCTTGTCGTCGGGCCGCGGGTACGCGTCCACCGTGGCCAGGTAGTCCAGCGTCACCAGCCCGCACCCCAGCTGCAAAAGCAAAAAGGAAGGAAGCTCAGTCACGGCCGATTCATCAGACCCATGACCAGCATTGGCCTGTGAGTGAGAAGGTTAGTGTACGAGGCCGCCCAGTGTCGCACCACGACGCGGTTCGCGGCGAGGACATGGACAGCGGCGGCACGGGCACCGGATGGCGCGGCGGAGCGGAGGAATCCACGGCGGCGGACCGCGGCAGAGGGGAGGGGAAGATACGGCGACGGCAAGTAGCGGATGAGCGACATGGTGGGCGGATGTGGGTGGACAGCGACGGTCAGAGCCGGGAGTGGTTGCGATCGACTTGCGAGTTGCGACGTTGAGAGAGTTTGGAAGGTAGCTGACGAGAGTGAAGTGAGTGTGGGCCCCGGCTTCCGTCGGATTTGCGCTTGGTGCCGAGTAGTCCTGCGAAAGTGTTTTGTTCTCTTGTGGGCGATCTCGACTGTTCGGACCATTGGAATACAACTCTTGCTAGAGATTCAGGAGGTGTTTGGTTCGCCGATTTGTAACGTCAGTTTACGCTGGTAATGGATAACGTTGAATCTTGTTTGGATCGACCCGGCCGTAATGAGATAACGCGGGTCCCAGCCTAGTTGTAATCTCATTACGCCCAATATGCTGTGTAATCGTAAACTGCCGCACGATGCTTCTCCCGTCTGCTCCGTTTCCTCCGCATGAAGCGCCACGAACTGATCCTCTCACCACATGCTACTGCTGCACGATGTCCGTATATGCTGGCCGCCGTTCATCGTGGACTGCGCTGCGCCGGGAAGGGCGTGGTTTTTCGTGGATGCCGGCGCGGACATCACCGTCGACGAGCTCAGCGACGCGAGGTGCCCGCCGTTCCGGTTCTTCGAGGAGTTCATCGACGACCACGTCTACAGGGCGTCGCCGCCGGGCGTGCTGCTCGCAGCGGTCGCCGACTAGCCCCTGGTGTCCGTAGGCCGCCGGACTTCCCACTGCATCAGCGACGTTCCTGGTGTGGCGCCCCTCTACGTCAGCCCATGCCAGACCCAGAGAGAGCCCTGCCATGGCTGCTCTTTTGAGATTTGTTAGCTTTTTTTTGTTTTAGCAGACGAATCGATTACGTTACAGTCCGCTACCAAACAAGTTTGAGTTTCGTTCGTTTACGTTTACGGTACCAGCGTAACTCCATTACGTTTACGTTTGCGGTGTTTATCTGGAACCAAACACCTCCTCAGTTCAGAGAAGGGGTGAAGTTGCGGAACACACACACACAAAAACATCTCGGCGTCGCCCTTCTCCGGCGTCACGGGCGGTAAAACCCTTCATACGCCGCCACACCCTCTCCTCTTCCCCGTCCCGCTGCTGCCAAGGAATCGTCGGCGAAGCTCGGGCAGGCTCCAGTTGTGGCGGCAAGGGGCCAATTTCTCCTGGCTGACACAACTCCTGCTCTTAGCTGGCACCTGGGACGAAGCTTCGCGTTGGTGCGACAGGGCCTGGATGCCGCAAAGAGGCGGTGGGCATAAGGTCGCGGGCGGTCTGGCCAGATCTAGGCTTGGGCGGGCCTGCGACAAAGGGTCGCCATAGGCCTCACCGACGGCATGACGGAGTGTGAGGGGTGGCGCGGTGGATGACTATCTGAAGGTCGCCCATGGAGTCGTGTCATAGTACGCTTCCCTTCCTTGCACCGCTCCCGTGAATTGCTCATATTTCGCACAGAGAGAAGACAATTGTGCAATGTGTCGACTCATGCAACACCCACGGAGCCACGAGCCGTGTTCCGATCCACATGCATCTTGACTTCCATAGGAACTCGACTCGTCATGGGGTGCAACGCCGATCATGCCGTAAAACAAGGCAGGATCATGCCGTAAAACAAGGCAGGTTGTAGTGTGTGCCATGTCGTACTACTAGACTATAGTGGGTGTCATATCATCAAAATCATACACATAGGTGTGAGAAGATAAGATAGAGAGTGAAATAGTGAAAGTACTCTTCTACTCCCGGGCTCAAATGAGCTCGGGATGAACAGTAAAAAAAGAGAGAAACATTCTGAACTTTTTGTGTGTTAAACCTTGACAAATATTTTTGTATGTGTGACATTCATCACCAAATGACATTTGGGGAAGTCACGGCAAAAACAAAATCAATATTCCAAAAGGCTTTAAAAAATAGTATTTTTGAAGCATTGATTTCTTTTACACAACTTCAACAAATGTCCCTTTGTAGTATTTTTTTGGAAATGGAGGCGTGCCCCCGACCTCTGCATCATAACGATGCATGCAGCCATCTTATTGAACGATCCACGAAGTAGCACAAAGTTATCAAAGTATTACAGCTCGCAAGCTGAGCGAAACTAAAGAAAAAGAAAAGTACAAGCTGGCAATGACAACCGGAACGGCAGAAAGATCATATCGTAAAACAAGGCAGGATCATGCCGTAAAACAAGGCAGGTTGTAGTTTGCGCCATGCCGTACTACTAGACTATAGTGGGTGTCATATCATCAAAATCATACACATAGGTGTGAGAAGATAAGATAGAGAGTGAAATGGTGAAAGTACTCTTCTGCTCCCGGGCTCAAATGAGCTCGGGATGAACAGTAAAAAGAGGAAAAAAGGAAAACATTCTAAACTTTTGAGAAAAGTTCACATTTCAACCTCCAACTAACCGATCGGTTTGATTTACAATCCTCAACTCCGAAACCGTCTGAATGACACCCTAAACTTACCACATGGTTCAAAATACAACCCCTGTATCGGTTTTGGGCTGGTCAACTGGTTTTGACCGGAGTCAAGGCTGACCAGACATGCCAAGTGAGCAGCCCGTCTAACTTGCTCTCTCTCTCTCAATTCGTTTTCTAAATTGAGTACGAGCCCAGTCCCCTCTATCGCACCGCCAGGCACGCCTCTATCCCGACTCACGGCTGCCATGCCCACCTCCCCACCACAGCAGACTCCAGTTGCTGTGCCCGCCTCCCTGCCTCACCTGACTCCGGCCACCGCCGGTGACCAGCTACATGCGCGAACGGCGCATGGCGGTGCTGCACCTCGCAGTGTGGGCCCCGAGCCCTCCGCCTCAGTCCACCTCTCGCAGTAGTGGCCTCCGTCGGCCCCGGCCCCATCCGCCGCCGGTGACAGACGCGACCGACGCGTGGCAGTGATGCACCTCCACCGAGTTGGCCTCGATCCCGACTCTCTCGCCATTGTTTCGTCTGCACTTCCCACACCCGAGCCGGAGCTGCTTGTCCACGAGCCGACACTGCTCCCCGACGACCAACACTCGTCCAAGCGTGATCATGATGAGGGGCTGCTCGCGGGTATCCGGCGGCGGAAGATATCAAAGGACTCGAGGTCGCCCTTGGTGGAAACTCTGGTGGGGTGGCGTGGGCCGGGGTGGGGCTCGAGCTGCCTTCCGGCCAGAGGGGAGAGGGCTGCGGAGATGCAGAGACCCCAGTTTCCGGCGGTGGCCGGAGTCAGGTGCAGCGGGGAGGCGGGCACGGCGGCCGCGGGTGCCAGGCGACGGGGACTGGGCTGGCTGCTAATCCCCCATCGTTTAATTGCAGCATGCATGGGGTGAATGGAGAGAGAGATAGACTAGGTTAGATGGCTGGGTGGGGGTGGCATTGGCTGCAGACTTGGCATGTCCAGTCAGCTTTGACTCTGGTTAAAACCATTGACCAGCCTAAAACCAAGACAAGGGTTGTGTTTTGAACTGTGTGGTAAGTTTAAGGTGTAATTCGAATGGTTTTGGATTTGAGGGTTGTAAATCAAATTGTATGGTTAGTTGAAGGTTGAAATGTGGACTTTTCTCTAAACTTTTTGTGTGATAAACTTTGACAAAGTTTTTGTAT